CCTCCTCTTCCTTCTTCTTCTTCTTCTTCTCTCTCTCTGTCTCTCTCTCTGTCTCTCTCTCTCTCTCTCTCTCTCTCTCTCTCTCTCTCTCTTTCGTTTGCCTTTGCAAATGAAAATTCTAATACCCAAAAGGTAAACCAGCTTTCCTAATACAACATGGTGGCTCTCACAAAAGCCCACATAAACATGGCTAGGAATGAGGAGGGCTGGCAATACTCCTTGATCTATCTCATGCAGGAACTCTCAGATTCAGGCATTATTCTGGCCTACTCTGTCATCTGGCAGACTGCACCCAGGCTGTACCCTGACCAACCCAGGGTCCTAGTCTGTATACAGGTGCAAAGGTCTCTTCTGACAGTTCTGAAGAGGCAGATGGGTCTCTACCTCCCTCTCTCTCCTTCTCTCTTTTTTCCACCCCCTCTCTCTTTCTCCCACTCTCTCTTCCCTTTCCATTCCCTTTATCTCAATAAACTCCATGGCATATTCTCTCACCTGCTGATAAGGGCCAACTCTTGCCGTATCATAACAGGAAGCTGTTGTCATCCAGATTGATTCAGTAGCTGGGACACATCCTTAAGAATCTGTGTATCTACCAAGTTCTCCCATGCTGTGCACCCAACAGGGGCTTGCACATTGAATCCTGAGGATTCGTAGGCAAGCCTCACCTGTGTGCCCCAAGTCTTCAGCAGAAAGAGACAAGGTATTTTCCACTGTAAATTAATTACTTCCTGAAACATACAGAATCCCAATCAGAGAATTCTTCTGTACAGAGCAAATAGAATTCCTAGTGGGTGCTCCTTTCAGAAGCAGACCAAGAAGATGAGGCTTTACATCTCTGTCTCATGGACAGAGGGGCTGTGCTCTTGAGCCTTCCTCAGTGAGGAAGCCCCCAAGGGTTTACATCTGTCTTCCATCCAGCAGGAGCACACTTTTCTTCCTCTTTGGTAACAACATTGCAAAATTGCAGCTAGGGAGCCAGCAGAACGTTTTGTAGGAACAAGAGCCCTTGCTTCCTCGCACACCAAGTCTCGTATCCTAATTCTCATGCCCTCATCCAGTGCTATCTAGCAACCTGAGTGCTATCACCATTCTGAATGTGTCCTTCCTTGCTGTTCCGGGCTGTCCTGAGCACAGCAGGGTACTTCACAGCATCATTGCTCTGATACTGGCAACATTCTGTAATGGTTCCCAACATTGTGAAAAGACCCCAGGATGCAAGAGCATCCGCAGTGAGAATACTGCCTTACAACATAACTCCTACTGGGATGAGGACAGCTAGCTGCAAGCAGAGCAAGAGACATTTAAATGCTACGGCACTGGCGGGAGGGAACACCCACCGAGTTAGGTTGGAAAGCCTTATTGATGGCAAAACTTTCAATTTAGTCAGTTTTAGGTACTACCAATGCTTCACTTCTGAGTGGTATGGATTTCAGTTAAACAAAAAGTCCCAAATTATGTGTCTAGATGTTGTCTCTGCCGATGTGATTGGCAGTGGTAGCAAACAGGTCCTTCTCTCTGCTGTCCTCAGTGCAGGCCTGGAAGTGTGAGGCAGCACCGACTCTGCCCCCTCATCAGTGTCCACATGCCCTGCCATGCGCTTCTTGGCACTAGCTAGCTAAACTCTGGAACAGCTTGTCTTGACAACCATTTATAGTAGGCAGTAACTGACTATACATTCTGTGTGGTTTTGAGAAAGGCTTTCTCCTTGCAATATTAATAGAAAATATTCTCTTGATATCCAATTGGCAAAAATGAAGAGCTAGGAAAACCATGAGGCATTTTGCTTAAATGTACATTAAAATGACCTACCAGAA